ATCATCATCTTAGTCTTCATCTTCATCTTCATCATCATCATCACCATCACCATCATCATCATCATCATGTTGATCACCATCAGCAGCACCATCACCACCAACGACCTCACAATCATCATCATCATCAGCAATATCATCACCACCACCATCATCATCATCAGCATCATCATCATCATTATAATTTTCAACGTCAACATCACCATCATCAGCAGCAGCATCACCATCAATACCAGCGCAAGGCTCATCATCATCAGCAACATAATCATCACCATCATCCTCATCATCCTCAGCATCATCATCATTATGATGCCAATTACCATTATCATCATCATTCCCAGCACCATCATCGTAAGCATCATCATTCGCAACAGCATCAGCATCAGCATCAGCATCATCATCATTATCAGCACCACGCTCACAATCACCATCACCATCATCATCATCAACATCATCATCTTCATCACCATCACCACACGCGCAAGACTCATCATCATCACCATCGTCCTCATCATCCCCATCATCTTGGTGCTGACAACCATTATGGTGACGACAATCACCATCATTACCATTATCATCATGGCGATGGCAATCACCACCACCATCATCATCATCATCATCACCAGCATCATCGAAAATATCATCATTCGCAGCATAATCAGCACCCTCATCAGCATCAGCAACACCATCAGTACCTGCGCAAGACTCATCAGCATCATCACCATCCTCCTCATAATCATCCTCAGCGCCACCATCATTATGATGACAATAGACATTATCATTAGCATCATCATTATCAGCATCATCAACAGCATCATCATCAACAACATCACCATCATCGTCCTCATCATCATTATCATCATTAGTACCATGACATTTTCTTACGTCATCATCATCATCATCGTCGTTATCATCACCAGCATCAGCATCAACATCATCATCAGCAGCATCAGCATCATCAACATCATCATCAGCATCATCATCGCCATCATCACCATCATATGCAGCATCATCACCAGCATCAGCATCAGCATCAGCATCATCATCACCATCATTGTCATCATCATCATCATCAACATGTCTCCTTCTAATTTACGTTGCGCGGACTGACGCACAAATGGGCTGAAGCGTCAGCCTCGTCCTCCTTAATGTTCCTCCTTCCACCTTCCACCTTCTCCTGGACACAGGGAGCTCGGTGGAACCGGTATCAGTGATCAGGAGCGCTTCAGTAGGCAAGGCAATGAGTATGCAGATGTCTCGGTCAAGGTGGGGGCCGTGGTCCACCCCAAACCAGCGCCCAATGTCCAAGATCGCACCAATTTCTACATCAGCACCAGCATGATGGTGCTGAAACTGGCCGCCAAACTCCTTCCGCTCTGGCCTAAGTGTGGCCTCTCAGCGGTAGAGTACTGGAAGCCCCCACCCCAAGCCAAGTCGACTGCAGCGGCCCCAATACTGGGCCTGGCTGGGTTCCTGGTGGCGCCGCCTTGTCTTCAGGGAAGCGGGGTGACAGTCGTCCTCCCCCAAGCCGCTGATTCAAGGCCCCCTTGACCTCATACTGCATTGATTGCCCGCACAAAGCATCGCGGTGCAGTGGTGGAATGCTCAGACGGATCTGCCTGTTGTTTCTGTCTCGTTTGCCACGTTTACCATACGGGTGGCTGGGGGGAAACGATGCCAGAACAACAAAACGTTGCCAAATACAGGACGTACGGCTTGTCTCGTTTCCCCACTCCTCCGTTGTTGGGTTTTCGTTATGGATCGAATAATGTGGTCGTCTCTCTTCTCTTGTCTTGTACCTCTCTCGTACCTGCCTCCGCCCTCGCCATCCCTGGGGGGGCTGCGATCTGCGAAACCGTCGCCACTTTCGAGGGTTGCTCGGGAGGGGGCCAGAACAATGACACTAGACGCAGATTCAGATTAGGCCTCGCCGTCCCTGGGGGGTTATGATCTGTAAAGCTGTCGCCACTTTCGAAGACTCCTGGGGGGGCCAGCACAATTACGCCAGACTCTGAGTATCTCAATTTCTTTGGGCCCCTGGAGTACATGGGGCACCCCAGACTTCAAGGGCCCCTCCCCTGGACTACAGGCGCCCCCCCCCCCAGACGACAGCCCCCCCCCCCCCAGACTACAAGGACCCCTCCCGAACTACAAGGGCCCTCCCCCCCTACAGGGACCACCCCCCCTGACTACAAGGGCCCACCTCAGGACTTCAGGCACCCTCCCAGCACAAGTGCTACGAATAGCCAGCGGTCGAGGTTGGCGCCTCTGTCTCGGATAGAGGCTCCTTGTACGCGGGCGCGCGAGCGTGCCCGCGCACAGCCGCGGAATCACTGGCTTGCCCGCCAGACGACATGATTGCGCACTTGCTCGCGCACTGCGCGTTGTCTGCGTTGCGTGTGGCGCTGCGGCTGCTGAGCGCTGCACGGCCTGCGCGCGCGACAGCGCACGAGCGCTCATCCCGCGCGAACCAGTGCCTGGCCACAGCTCGGGACATGGCTCTCCAATTGGCCTGCAGAGGGACGCAGAAGAGCAGCGACCGTTGCATGTTTGGCAGCGCCCACCACGGGCGACATCGTCGTCGTCGTCGTCGTCGTCGTCGTCGTCGTCGTCGTCGTCGTCGTCGTCGTCGTCGACGTCGACGTCGACGTCGACGTCGACGTCGACGTCGAGCGGAACACCAAACCACGAAGATCAACGCATCACCCCCCCGGGACTACAAGAACCCCCCCAGACTACATGGGCCCCCTCCATCCGGACTATCAAGCCCCCCCCCGGACTACAAGGGCCCCCCCAAAACTTCTACAGGGACACCACCGCGCCCCAGACTGCAAGGCCCCCCCTTGATTACAGGGCCCCCCAGCCCCCCCCCGCCCCCCGGGACGATTCGACACACCAAAGAACAATTCAGGTACTCAGAATACGCGGATTCAGATTAGACCTCGCCATCCCTGGTGGGCTGTGATCTGCAAACTGTCGCCATGTTCGAGGACTGCTGGTGGGGGGTGGGGCAGCATAGCCTGGGCTCTATCCAGATTCAGACTAGACCTCGCCATTCCTGGGGGTCTGCGATCTGCGAATCTGTCTCCATTTTCGAGGGCTTGCTGAAGGCAAGCACCCCCAGCTGAACAAGAGGGAGAGGAACATCAAGTTTCTTCCCTCGCCCTTGTCCTTTTATATGTGCTGACAGGAGAGCGTCGCGGAAAAGCAAAAAAAACCTTCCAAATGTTCCTCCATCCCCCCCCCGCCCACCCCCACGTCGATGGGGCCAGAACCGGCACAAAACTTCGACCCGTTTCCCTCCCCTGATCTCTGGAGTCGCGACCTTCTCATGTAATTACCTTTCTCTTGAACCAATTCCTCATCTCTTGTCGACTTCAGCGGCCCCGGAGCCCCGCAAGGGCCCCCCGAGGCCGGGGATGGACAAGAACCGTCGCCGCGACTTTTTCGCAGCGGCCGAGCTTTGGACCAGGACCCCCTTGCCTCCATGGCGCACGACAGGTCCACACATCCTCCGATAGGATTGTTTCAGTCCGAGGGTTACTTACAATACTTCTTCAGATCCACGCTTCGTGGCCTGCGGGCGATCACGAAGGTTTATTTTTTGGGCGTCGCTGCAGACTGCCAGGCCGTGCTCGCGAACACGCGCGCGTGAAACCCCCTGTTTCGATGCGCTCCCGGAGTGGCGCAAGCGCGGCCAGTCTGAATCTCGATGCCGTGTGACATGTTCTGCGTCGAGTCGGCAACGACAACGACGTGCAGAAGAAATGCCGCGCAAAGAGAAGGTGCCCTGCGAGAAGGCCGACGAGCGCGGCGACAGCGGCGGAGCGATGCAGCTGCGAACGCGGAAGGTCCCGCGGCGCCCCGTGGGCGCAGGCAAGCCGCCCGGCCCCACGGGAGGGGAGGCAAGCCGCCCGGCCCCACGGGCCAGGCCCCCGACCATACCATACCCCTCGGCCCATCCAGGCCTCGGGAGAGCGGGGAAGGAGAGGAGGGGCAGGAGGAGGCGAAGGGAAAGAGTCTGCGCGTCACTGCACGCTGCAGCCCCTCTGGTGGAACTTCTGGTGGTGTCTCTCCGCGTCGTGCCAGGTCTCCAAGCGCGCGGCGTGGACCTCCGGGGCGCCTCGTCTGGCACGTGCCTGCAGGGCCTTCTTCTGCTCCTCGTCGTGGTACCAGACTGCCGAGTGGTGCTGCGTCTTGGTCCCAGCATGCAGAGCGCCAGTGTCGTGCTGCACCCCCCCAGCGAACGCCAAGCCCACTGGCGCTGGCGTGCGCTCGCGAATGCGGTTAAAGTGAATGAGAAGCGCGTCGTAGGTAATCAGCTCAGGGTCGAACTCTATGCGGATTGCTTCAGAGTGCCCATCCCCAAGTTGCACGCTCTCGTACGTGGGCTTCTTCAGCGTGTTACCGCCAGTGTAGCCGACCGTGGTGCTGAGGACCCCGCTCACCCTGTCGAACAACTTCTGCGACTCCCAGAAGCAGCCCGTCGAGAACGTCGCGACCTGGCGCGGCCGCCGTGCGGCATCCGTGATGGTCTGGACGACGCTCGCCAGCAACGCCGAGTAGTCGGGCAGGCCCTCCTCCGGCGGGCGGAACCTCGAGATCACCATGGACTGCACCTCGGCTGGCTGCCTCGCCAAGAGCTCGAAGGCGCCGTCGTCGACGGGGTAGCGTCCCCGGAAGGCGGCCAGCCGCTCCCCCTCGGCGGGCGCGGCGGGCGCCTCCCCGCGGCCGCGCCCGGCGCAGGGCGCGCCGGAGCTGCGCGGCCCGAGCGCGCGGTCCTCTTGCTGGAGCCGCCGCAACGCCTCGACGGCGGCGAGCCGCGCCCGCTCCACCTCCTCCGGCGACTCGTCCTTCGGGCGGAAGTAGCGCTGCTTCCTGACACCGTTGTCCGGGCCGTTCCGTATCGTGTGCTGAACACGCCACGCCTTGTTTCTTGTATCCCAGTAGATGTACTTGACGCCGCTCTGGCGCTCCGCGCTGCCGCTGCGTCCAGAAGGGGCCTGGGCCCGCCTGAGCTCGCCGAGCTGGTCCTCCCCCTCGAGCCGCCGCAGCGCCTCGACGGCGGCGAGCCGCGCCCGCTCCACCTCCTCCGGCGACTCGTCCTTCGGGCGGAAGTAGCGCTGCTTCATGCAACCTTTGTCTGGGCCATTCCTTATCGTGTGCTGAACACGCCACGCCTTGTTTCTTGTATCCCAAGAGATGTACTTGACGCCGCTCTGGCGCTCCGCGCTGCCACTGCGTCCAGAAGGGGCCCGCTTGAGCTCGCCGAGCTGGTCCTCCTCCTGGATCCGCCGCAGCGCCTCGACGGCGGCGAGCCGCGCCCGCTCCACCTCCTCCGGCGACTCGTCCTTCGGGCGGAATTCAGGCTGCTTCACGCTGCCTTTGTCGAGGCCGTTCTTGATCCTGTACTGAAGACGCCACGTCTGGCCACGCTTGCACCAGGCGATGTACTTGACGCCGCTCTGGCGCTCCGCGCTGCCGCTGCGTCCAGAAGGGGCCTGGGCCCGCCTGAGCTCGCCGAGCTGGTCCTCCCCCTCGAGCCGCCGCAGCGCCTCGACGGCGGCGAGCCGCGCCCGCTCCACCTCCTCTGGTGACCCGTCCTTCGGGTTGAAGTAGGGCTGCTTCTTGCAACCTTTGTCCGGACCGTTCTTGATCCTGTACCGAAGACGCCACGCCTGGCCTTGTTTGCACCAGGAGATATACTTGACGCCGCTCTGACGCTCCGCGCTGCCGCGCCGATCGTGCCTGGCCGCGGCTAAAGCCTGCGCCCCGCGGCAGGGGCCGGCGGCCGCAGCCCGCGGGCGCGCCCCGCGCACCGGGGCGGGCCCCGCGGCCGGCCCGGCGAAGGCCTCCAGTAGGGCCGCGTGCCCGCGCCCCGCGGCCGCCGCCAGGGCTGCGCCCACCGCTGCCGCGGCCGCGCCGCGGCGGCCGCGCCGGTGGCAGGGCATGGCGCGCCACTCGGAGCGCAGCGGCGGGCCCGGCGGGCAAGCGAGCGGCGCGGGCCGGGTGCCGGATCCGCCCCAGGTTGCGTGCCCGAGCCTCCCTAGCTTGAGCCAGAATGGCTACGGAGGGCGATCACGGAGGCTCTATTGAGGTCGGAATCGCTAAAAAAGAAGCGCCATGATTGAGCAGAACATGTCGTCGGAGACCTGGCTTCCGGGTCATAGCGCGGGTCTCTGGCGGCCGATCGGGGCGACGGTACTCGGGCACCCCATCCAACGCTTCTCGGCGAGGCTCCGACTTTTTCGCAGCGGTCGAGCTTTCGGCCAGGACCCCCTCTCCTCCATGGCGCACGACAGGCCCACACATCCTCCGATAGGATTGCTTCAGTCCGACCCCTTCCTCGAGGGGTATTTACTTCTTCGTCCCCAGATCCACACTTCGTGGCCTGCGGGCGATCCCGGAGACTCCATTTTTTGCGCCGCTGCAGACTGCCAGGCCGTGCTCGCGAACACGCGCGCGTGAAACCCCCTGATTCGATGCGCTCCCGGAGTGGCGCAAGCGCGGCCAGTCTGTATCTCGCTGCCGGGTGACATGTTCTGCGCCGAGTCGGCAACGACAATGACGCGCAGACACAATAAACACCCAGAGCCGCTCCGACCCCCAACCAATACCGTGCAAAGTAAAGGTGCCCTGCGAGAAGGCCGACGAGCGCGGCGACAACGGCGGAGCGATGCAGCTGCGTACGCGGAAGGTCCCGCGGCGCCCCGTGGGCGCAGGCAAGCCACCCGGCCCCACGGGAGGGGACCAAGTCCCCGACCGTACCCCTCGGCCCATCCAGGCCTCGGGAGAGCCGGGAAGGAGGGGGGGCAGGAGGAGGAGAAGGGTTGGAGTCTGCGCGTCACTGCACGCTGCAGCCTTTCTGGTGGAACTTCTGGTGGTGTCTCTCCGCGTCGTGCCAGGTCTCCATGCGCGCGGCGTGGACCTCCGGGGCGCCTCGTCTGGCGCGTGCCTGCAGGGCCTTCTTCTGCTCCTCGTCGTGGTGCCAGACTGCCGAGTGGTGCTGCGTCTTGGTCCCAGCCTGCACAGCGGCAGTGTGGGGCTGTGCCCCCCCAGCAAACGCCAAGCCCACTGGCGCAGGCGTGCGCTCACGAATGCGGTCAAAGTGGGTGAGGAGCTCGTCGTAGGTGATCAGCTCAGGGTCGAACTCTATGCGGATTGCTTCGGAGTGCCCGTCCCCAAGTTGGACGCTCTCGTGCGTCGGCTTGCTCAGCGTGTTACCGCCAGTGTAGCCGACCGTGGTGCTGAGGACCCCGCTCACCCTGTCGAACAGCTTCTGCGACTCCCAGAAGCAGCCCGTCGAGAACGTCGCGACCTGGCGCGGCCGCCGTGCGGCATCCGTGATGGTCTGGATGACGCTCGCCAGCAGCCCGGAGTAGTCGGGCAGGCCCTCCTCTAGCGGGCGGAACCTCGAGATCACCATGGACTGCACCTCGGCCGGCTGCCTCGCCAAGAGCTCGAAGGCGCCGTCGTCGACGGGGTAGCGCCCGCGGAAGGCGGCCAGCCGCTCCCCCTCGGCGGGCGCGGCGGGCGCCTCCCCGCGGCCGCGCCCGGCGCAGGGCAAGCCGGAGCTGCGCGGCCCGAGCGCGCGGTCTTCTTGCTGGAGGCGCCGCAGCGCCTCGACGGCGGCGAGCCGCGCCCGCTCCACCTCCTCTGGCGACCCGTCCTTCGGGCGGAAGTAGCGATGCTTCGTGCAACCTTTGTCTGGGCCGTTCCTTATACTGTAACGAACACGCCACGCCTTGCTTCCTGTGTCCCAGGAGATGTACTTGACGCCGCTCTGGCGCTCCGCGCTGCCGCTGCGTACAGAAGGGGTCCGCCTGAGCTCGCCGAGCTGGTCCTCCCCCTCGAGCCACCGCAGCGCCTCGACGGCGGCGAGCCGCGCCCGCTCCACCTCCTCCGGCGACTCGTCCTTCGGGCGAAATCGAGGCTGCTTCACGCTACCTTTGTCCGGGCCGTTCCCTATCGTGTACCGAACACGCCACGCCTTGTATGTTGTGTCCCAGAATATGTACTTGACGCCGCTCTGGCGCTCCGCGCTGCCGCTGCGTCCAGAAGGGGTCCGCCTGAGCTCTCCGAGCTGGTCCTCCCCCTCAAGCCGCCGCAGCGCCTCGACGGCGGCGAGCCGCGCCCGCTCCACCTCCTCCGGCGACTCGTCCTTCGGGCGGAATCGAGGCTGCTTCACTCTACCTTTGTCTGGGCCGTTCCTTATCGTGTACCGAATGCGCCAATCCTTGTTTGTTGTGTCCCAGGAGATGTGCTTGACGCCGCTCTGGCGCTCCGCGCTGCCGCGCCGATCGTGCCTGGCCGCGGCCGGAGCCCGCGCCCCGCGGCCGGGGCCAGCGGCCGCAGCCCGCCCTGAGGGTCTCCCGGGCTGAATCACTACACGCACGATTATGCAACATAAAAAACTACATGCGCATGCACCAATGTGTATATCATTACATACGATGTCAAGTGTTGAAAATGCGTGGAAACATCTATGCGTGTTGAATATACACTATACATGCTGGTTTATTCAGATGTGCTGATTTCCCCCCCCCCTCCTTCGGCTGCATTTTTATGTTCGAGTCCCCTCTAGCGGACCTTCGCCCAGCAGCCTGGGCGCTATGCAGCAGCAGCAGCAGCAGAAGCAGCAGCAGCAGCAGGGAGCAGCCTCGGCGGCATCGACAGCCGCCCCGACGCCCACAACGGATCTCGACCTCGTCGAGATCCCGTTCGTCCAGCCTCTCGAGGACGGGCACGCGTACATCAATTGCGTGCAGCTGTCCAACGACAGCTGGCGCAAGCTCATCGAGGTACCGTTATGTAAATCTACATGCATATTTATATGTGTATATAAAACGTACATACATACAAACATACATACATAAAAACATAAAGTCGCCATGTATGCATGCATTCATACATACATACATTGATAAATCCATACATACATACATACATACCTACCTACCTACCTACCTACCTACCTAAAAACATACATACATACATACATACATACATATACAAACAAACATTTATGTGTATATATATTCATTATATAATCTAACACACATGTATACAAATCAACAAAAAGTTATCAATCGAGGGGGTGAATCGATCAATCGATCGGTTCACTCCCTCGACCCCCTCCCCAGGCAGCCAGGCTGCGCGGCCAGGCTGCCGACATGGCGCAGGCCCCGAGGGTTGCAAGGATGAGGTGGGAGGCGGGAAGATGAAGGATAGGGAGGAGGCGGAGGAGGCGGAGGAGGAGGAGGAGGAGGAGGAGGAGGAGGAGGGGGAGGGGGAAGAGGAGCGCCATAGATGCTGTAATACACCCTTGACTGGACACATTCGGTGGCACGGGGTATCCCGTGCCACCGGATGTGTCCAATCGCTGCCCAGGTGCTGGCTGCTGCTGGCGTCGCCGCGGAGGACCTCAAGGACCTCGCCCTCCTCATCCTCGTCAGCCTCCTCCTCGTCCTAATCCCTCCTCCCCATTCTTCTCCTCGATATCCTCGTCCCATCTCCCTCGTCCTCCCTTCCTCCCCTCCTCCCTCCCTCCCTCACTTCCTCCCTCCCTCCCTCCTCCTGCTCCGCATCCTCGGCGCATCTGTGTGTGTGTGCTCATCCTACTCATCCACATCCTCCTCATCATTCTCTGTTTCCTCATTCTCCTCCTGTGGCAGGGTCCACATGGCGTACCCGCGCCCGTTTCGGCACACCCCTCACAAATCTCGTGGCCCCATAGGGAACTCCACCGAAGGCCCCAGCGGCAGTTTCCCATTTCAACGTTGAAATACACATGAAATCCGTTGAAACTCGTTGAAACCCAACGCCTCACACAACTAAAACACACGAAATACCTCCATACGCTTCGCGTATCCCCACCAGCCCATCCAGCAACAATGTCCAGGCGAGTGATGTGATCAGGGAAATGCGGGAGCAAAGAGGTGGGCGGCAGAACAGCGAAACAGGGTGGACGTTGACACGGAGGAGGCTGGAGGAATGGATGAGGGAGTGGGGGGTAAGAAGATGAATCTGATGAGGAGGGGGGGGGAGGAGGAGCAGGAGGATGAGGAAGAGAAGAAGTAGAAGGAGTGATGCTAAGCGTGGATGCCAATCGGAGCCTCTTGGAATATCTCTG